TCTGATGAATACAGAAGTAGCTGCACTTGGCTGGGTGAGAAACTTCTCTCTGGTCTCGGTCAGGCATCTTTCATAGCTCCTGCATTTCCACTGCCGGTCACAAGATGGGGTCAGAACACCCAGGAACGACGCTTGTTGCTCTCAAGCACGCCGCAGTGACTAGCGGTCTCAGCACTAAGTTTGTCTGGGCTCTGAGGTAGTTCTTCTTGACTCACAGACAACAATCACTAGAAGTAGCCGTGATGGGATTTTGTATGTAAATTCAAATACACATTTCTATTAATTTCTGGTGTCTATAGTGAGAATTGCTGGAGCGAGCTAAGAAGGTCAATTCCAGCTGTTGGATAAACAAGAAGAGACTCAGAAGCATTTTTCAAAAATGAAGCATTCTACAGATGGCACATTTATTTCCAGAGCAGGAAATAATGAGTGGGGATATTCTCCCAGGCCTGCTGCATGGCCTGAGGCTTGCTGATTCATGGGTGGCCATTGTTCGTTACACCCATAATTGGAAAGGCACGTTGTTTTTGGCTTAGGAAAGAGAACAGTGTAACAATGCACAACAGTGACATGTAAGACAAAATGCCAGTTCATGCAACTTTGCAAATTATATAAAATTAGAAGACAGCTAGAATAGTAAAGGTGAAGAAAGTGTCAGAAGACATGGTAGTGTTGGAGCATGGAGACACTCAGCCTGGTGTATGTGGCACAGACACGCAGCAATGGAATTAGTGGAACCTGTTTTCTGTTTCTTTCTGGATTTCTTCTAATGCAGAAGCAGCAACTGAACTTATTCTTAGTTGGACCCAGTCTCCTCAGTTATCAGCAACACCTGTATTCACATGGGGAGGTTTGGCACTGAGTAGGCACAAACTAGCCCAGAGTTGAGCTGGGAAGGAAATCCTTCTATGCGTAGAACGTAATACCTGGGGTTCTATGGGCTTCTTCTCAGATAGCACCAGTAATATTGTTGTGTCCTGTGTTTATTAGGTTTCCAAAAAAATAGTTCTGATGCTACCAGGAGAGCCAAGGGAAAGCCAGTCCGTTAACTTTTAATTAGTACCTGTACCTGTAAATTTAAAAGATGCATTCATATGAGTGTGTTGCCAGCTGTTCTTTGCCACTGGACAAAGATTATTAGGCAGATTACAAAAAACATGGTGTTGTACCCTAATTTTAAAACATATTTACATTACCTTCCTCTTACGGAAGTTATTAGCTCACCTTAGTAGGTAGGCTTATAAGGAATTGTGTTTGTTGGTGGTTTAAAGCTCAAATGTAAAGCTTGGGATGTGAATTACGCTTCTAATAGAGAGTAAACCTGACATGCTTGTAGCTCAGTGTCAGAGGAAGGGAGATGGAGTCACAGTGCACACCTATCCCTGCCGTCCCTAACTGCATGCTGTGCCAGCAGCCTGTGGTGCCAGCTCAGGCACCCTAAAAGCTACATTTTCATTGTTAACACTTGCTTTAGTGCTGCAGTGTGGATGAGGCTGTTTTCAGAATTGTTGTATGTCTGTGGGCTTTGGCAGCACCTCCTGGCAAGCAGTGCACAGAGACTCTCATATTAATGCTTTCAAAGTACTGTTTAAATTAAATGTACTTTCATGGGTCTCGATGTGAAGCCTTTTCTTAGAGCGTTTTTAATTCTTTTTCCTTGACTTTTTTGTCCTCCTGTAGAAGTTACACAGGATGTACATGCTGTTCTTGGAGGGTTTCCATTTGATGGGAAGTCTGCTCACACGCTTCAGCTTTGTTTGGCACTTCTTGCACTTTTTCCAGTTTGGTAGAAAAGTCACTGTGTAACTTTGAGAGCATTTCAGCTGTTCAGTGCAGAATGCCCGTCAGCAAACTAACTCCAACCACGTCAATTATTACCAGAATGTCTGCAACACCAGCTGCTACTTTTTTAAACAGCTTTTCCCTTTCCTGTGTGAAATAAATTGACTGAACACGTAACTTTATATCATCAACATATCTTTCAGTAGTGTTCGGAATAGTTCCATGCCAAATGAAATATAAATAATTGTGCCCGCCAACACTGCCCCAAGCTGCTGGAGCTCAAGGAGTGTTTGGAGAATGCCTTCAGACATAGGGTTTGGTTTTCGGTCATTCTGTTTGGAGCCAGGAGCTGGGCATGATGGTCCCTGCTAACTTGGGGTGTTCTGTGGTTCTTTGTTTTTCTCTCAAGCAGTAGGCTACCTATGTTCGACCCTAGGAACTATTCAAACTCAAGGTACCTATGGATGAAGTTTTTTTTATCAAGCCAGTGATTCCTTTGCTCCTCAAATAAGCGACCTTTAAGTGAGGGGAAAAAAACTAATATAATTTGAAGGTTACAGGAACAATTCATTTTTGTGATAATTCAGTCTTATGTGGAAAAATGCATAATTTGTGCTTATTTACACTAAAGAGTTTTAACCATAGTGAAATAGTGCAGAAATATCTAGGCAGCCATTTCATTCAACTATGTATTTGTGACTTTGAGGCTCATGACCATCAGCTGCCCATACTTTGTGTTTGGGTATAAAGAGTTTATCCTAAATCAACAAGACTTGCATTGTTTATTTGGGAATACAGAATTCAGCAAATCAAGCAGAGACAATTGTAATTTCTGTTAACAGGTAAAAATGGTATCATTTTTTAACTTTCATATTCAGAGGCAAGTCCTAAGAGCACTGTGAGAGTCCAGTTCCGAACATTTTACTCTCTGAAGTCAGTTTACTTGCATACTAGACAGGGAACATAGACACTTTCAGTTCATTCATATTCAGGGAATATAGACATTATCAGAACTTAACTTCTATCTCCATAAGGAGCATGAGGGGGTTTTAAACCGACGTGTGTTGATGGCAGCAGAATTATCCATAAGGAAGCCTTTCGTGGGGGACTTTGCACTTACAGAAGTCTCTAAGACATGAATATTAAAATAATTGTGTGTGTTCCAGTTATTTTCTGTTCTCAGTGTGTCTCCATGCATTGCTTGCCGAGGTTGGGCATGACCAGGACAGGAGGGGTGAACAGCACCAGGCATATGGGGCCCAACAGCATCTCTCTAAAGGCCTCCATGCTGGTGTCTGACTGCATCAGGCAGCCCCTCTCTGCTGGCAGCCTGGCATTCTTGAACCAGCTCATATCTCTGTAGTAACAGCTCCATGGCAGCAGCTGCTCCCTCTGACGGCTTAATTGGGTCTTCTGCATCTCTCATCTCAGCAGGCCCTGTGCAAATCGCTGTATTTCACCAGAATGTTCCCTTTTGTTGGAACACCTTGGGCTTCACTTAGGTACTTCCTTGGGTGTTCAACACTCAGATGTTGAAGTCGCTCAGCATCTATAGCTCTGATTAGAAGAGTTTTACATCTCAATGCAAGACAAATTCCTTGAGGTGGTAAATTATTATTTTATTACCTGCTTTTTTTTTTTTTTTTTTTTTTTCCCTTTTGGAATCATCTTTTGCTTTTGTTCAGTCATTTGAATTCACATTATCATTGCCTTGTGCTGAAAGCTTCTCCAGAAAGTCAGCCCCCACCTTGCTAGCAGTGTTTTTTACATTCTCACTAACTGCTTTAAAACATTTTTTTAGGGAACAGGATCACTCATGACATTGAAGGTAAAAATGGCATCTGTCTGAAGAACATTCCATAACAAGTTTCTGGGGACCTACTGCCACATACTGAAATATATGAAAGGTTTCTGTGTTCAGTGCAGCCAGCAGGCCTCATCCCCTTAGTTCAGGAGAGCTACTTTTCCTCAGTCTTTCTGATTCAAGACCTTTCCCAAAGAAAGTGAAAGGAATACGTGGTGAGGCACTACTCCAGCCACTGAAGACAAAATGCCTGCTTGAGTGTTCAGTCTGATTGCAGGCTAATCAGGATTGTCTAGTCACTGGAAAATGTAGAAGACAATTTGTAATCCCCATTTCCCAACAGCAGCCTGCTGCTGCTCTCATCTTGAGTCCTCCTTTTTCCATAATCTGTGTCCCACAGCTCACATCAGGTGGTGCAGCCTGGCAGCAGGTGCTCTGAGGTGTGCTCTGGAACAGACAGGATGTGCAGGTGTAAGAATAGGCATGTGAGGGGAAGTATCAATGGAGGTGCGTGGAAACCTTGTGTGGGAAGCACAGTGTTATTTTCAGCACTTACAGTGCTCAGTCACAGTGCCAATACTGAATGCTTTCTTTTTTTGCCTTCTTTTTTGCTTTTTTTTTTTTTTTTTTTTGCGCTTTAAGTTATTGTGAAGGATATTTTCTTTAAATTTTTCTGTGCTCTAAATAAGTATCTTGACATAAAGTTTGTTTTCTGTTGGTAGAGCCCTTTGTTTGGTGTCAAGTGGGGCTGCAATGCAATCAGGATTCAAGGAAGAATTCTGTCTGCTTAGGCCATGGGGACAGGATCCAGGCTCCATCCTCACTGTGGCTGTGGTGGTTATGCAGGCATTTTATGCTAACTGGCCTCAGCTTATTCTTGAGAGTAAATGTGGTAACATGACAAAAAGCTAGGTGACGCTGATCAAAACATGCCCTATCAAATATTTGTTAATCTGCTACTCTGTCATATGTTGTAACTCCAAAACAAATCGGCTGCACAGTCCTCTGTGGAAAACAGATGTGCGAAGTGGGCAGGGAGTGCCACTGTACCTCTGACACCGTGTCACTGAAATGAAGGGAATTCTTCATTTTAACCTCTACTTGTTTCTATAGTGAGACTGTGCTATGCACTATGTTCCTGAAGGAGCTGCTGTCTGTCACTGCCCATTGCTTTTCTTCTGCTCTGCATTCTGCTGCAGGAGAGCGAGAAGCTGGAACAACAATAAATCTAAATTTATTCTTTCTTGATGGGCTTTTATTGATCTTCCAGCAACCCTAAAGCCAAAGAATGAAGCGAATATTGCACCCTGAAGACACTGGCGATCGGAGAATTAAGATCACTTTCCCTTCTCAAAATGCTTTATAAAGTAGCTAGATGTGTGTGTGAATTATTTACACTTCAAAATACATAGAATCCTGTAGGAGAAGTCTTTATTAGCAGCTGTGCACAATTGATATGCTGACAGATCCAGACCTAGAATAATTAGATTTTTATCCAAGAGCCACAGGAAAATCTCAACTCATTGTTTCTGTGCAGGTGGAGAAAGAAGTACTGAAGTGTTTGACTCAGAGCATGCTGTTCTCAGCAGACAACTGGAGCCAAGGAAAAGAAGTGGCAAGAGGTACTTGTTTACTAGTTAAAGGTTCTTTTTCATCCGTGCGTCAAAATGAAGGGAAGATCCTACTATTTTTCAGACTATTGGTTGTTTTGACCAAGATGTAGTATAAATTTCACAAATTTTTTTTTTCTTTTAAATATTTCCATCTTATTTAAAAAAAAAAAAAAAAGTTACATCTGTGTATGGAAACCCATAGGTAAAAGCAACTGACTGAGTTTGCTGATGGATAGGGAGTGAGAAGAGCACAGGGGGCATTATTTGCATGTTTTTCTATTCAGGACTCCTCTGGCGACATTTTGTTAGTCACTGTAACTTGCTACAAGTTAGGAGAGAGCTGGCTGGTGGACTTGAAGCGGGAGAAGATCAAGAGGAAGAGTCCTGATGTTATGGAGATGGCAGTGCTGCACCAGTGGAGGGATTTCTCCTGGCATTTGTTGGCTGACAAGCCTTACTGAGTCTTGTCAGAAGTGCAGAACCCCAACTGTTTTATGCAGTCTCTTGCAGTAGCTATTGCAGGGAGTATCACTGCTGCTGCTGATACTGAGGTAACCTCCTGGTCAGGAAATGGGGTCCTCCTATCCCATCCTGCCACTAGCTCATGACTGTTTTGCTGCAGTGTGTTTAGGTAACAGATTGTCAGCATGCCCCTGCAGTGCTCCTGGTAAGCATGAAGAGAAATCTGCCCACACGTAGCCCGCAGCTGCAAGGCTGTCACACAAATTTGAGTCAGGTTAAGAACACGAGAAGATGATGTGGAAAATAAATACATCACTCAGGTAAGAAATGACTTAATAGGATGCTGCTGAAGTCTGTGGGCTTGATTATTCATTTAGATGGGCTATTTTTGGTTTCTTTTCCCCATGATGGATTCAGTCAGGTGTGGTTCACTTGCTGGTAATTGCAACCACATTTGTCATTGAAACAAACAAACAAAAAAAAACCAGTACATAAAAAAGCACCCAGTTCTACAGTATCCATCTGCATGGACAGCCTGTAAGTAATTTTTCAAGTGCAAACACCTGCCATTAACTCGCAACAGATTATTCTAGCTAGGTTTAATGACATGCAGTCCTTGTTAATTACCCCAATTTGAACAATTCCATACTGGTCTCTACACTGTGTATCATGCCAGGAATTGGTGTTACCTATTTGGAACTGCTCAGCTTTCATAAGCAGAAGTAATTCCCTGGGAAATTACGACACCTGCAAATGTATCTTAGTATTCCAAAATGGCACTGCTAAGCATGCTGGCTAAAGCTAAGCTGCATACCATGTCGCACTCCTACAAAGTTGCTTTCATGCATGTGATTTCATATCTGGTGTTTTACCTTCAAGCGTGGTTCTACCACACTTCAGGATGGTTCTACCAAAGAACTTTCTCTGAATTTGATATATAATCATCTGAAAGTTAAAGTATTTGTAATTTATGCACATATGAAACTGGTCTGCTTTTAACTCCAAATAGTCATTTGCAGTGCCAAATAAAAATATTTTTGAAATGACAAATTCTTGTCTAGCTACATATATATCAAAATGGGTGAACTGTTAATCTGGCATCCTGATAATCCAGCCTGAATCCTAAGGCTGTAATCAAAAACTGCAGATATGATGATATCCCAGTTGTTTTCTGTCTTATTAGATGAAAATAGCTCTATAAAGTGCATTGGAGATCATAAGATCTTCACTGATTATTTTTGAGTGTTATTTTACGACATTTATGTAAGTTTTTGCTGAACGTAAATATGGCCAGAAGTCTGATGATTAAATATTTTTTTTCACTTAAAATCTATGAAAGTTTAATAAAAAATAATTTATTCAAAGCATTTAAGAAGAAAAAACTCATTTTCCACTAAGGAAAAAATTAGAAGCCCTTTTTTTTGACAAAAGTTTCTAAATTAAGACCTTTGTAACTTGAAGAATTTAATGTGTTTCTCTAGTGGAGCACCTTTGAGGAATGCACTGGTGGCAATTATTTCATCTGCTGTTAACAGCAGACCTCAAGATCTGTTAATTATTTCTCTTTCTTTAAATTTTCTAAAAGGAGAGTTATTTCAGTCAGTATTTATTGTCCTCAAAGAAAAATCAAGTAACATTAATGTAAACATACTGAATACACAAACTTTAACTCAGTCCATTCAAACCTTTTGTACCATGGCACTGGACTTATGGCAACTGTGTAACTTGTACAAAGCATAGCTTGCCCATTACAGAGGTTTCTAAATAATAAATACAGCTCAAAACAAGTGAACATTTCGTGAAATAAAATAGTACTGGAAATCAAAAAGCTGCAGTACAGTCAAACAGGAGCTGTTCCTTAGAACCATGTAGATAGAACAGTTCACAATGAAACTCCCTCTAAAAAAATAAAATGTTTTGTTAAGAATGGCTGCCACCTAACATTAGGTAAATCATGCAAAATAGCACAAATTATAGTAGCTGGAAAATGCAAAATAATTTGGTAGAGTCATCTAATCCTTCAGCATCACCGTGCAGAAATCAAGAGGGATTCTCTGTTCCTTCCTTCAGCTTTTTTCTTTTTTCTTCCAGTGTTTGCTTAAATACTTTTTTCAGGGTATTGTAAATGTATGGTCCATCTTCAGAATCAAAGCTTGTCTAATAAAAGGCAGAAATTGAAATGCAGTTGTTACATAGGCGTCACATGGCAAAATGCAGAGATGAGCAACATTTAAAAAATAAAGCAGTTTTCAGGTTTATTTAAAAAAAAAAAAAAAAACAAATACAAACACGGAGTGCTTTCATTATGGAGTACTTCATGGTAAATAGTTTTGTCTAAACATTAAAGCAATGAAGAAATGCTATGATTATTTTAACAGCTGGCATGTCTGTAGATTTACAAGAGATTAGGAAGCAAAATGATGAACTTTCTTTTTAAATACTTCCACCTGCTGAACTACGATGTAATTTAGAAAGCAATTTAATCTGATGGGAAGAGTCCAAGTAATACAGTCCACCAAAGCCTTTGGTAGGCTACTCTCAGAGCCTTTTTATTCCCATCACTTAAAAATCATCTTTTCCCTAATATGAAGAAGTCCATGAATTGGAAGTGATCCAGAGACAGAAAAAGGAGACGAAAGGACTATGGCTCCAGTGACAGAATGGGGTTTGTTGAGAATATTCCCTATCTTTTATGTAGGATGGTAACCACAAATTCTGAATGGAGGCAGCACGAGTACAACAAGTGTGAAGGGACTGCTGTCACTTTTACTGCCCTGCTGGTTCATGATTTAAACAAACAAATACCATGCCTTGGACAGTTACTTGCCTTAGTGAAAGCTTTAACAGCACGAACAAGTAAGGCCTCCTCCACATCAGCTGGTAGCGTTTGCAAGTTCACCACACAGTGTAAAATACAAAGGATAGTCTGACACTGCTCCTGGTGGATAAAAGGAACAGCAGCTCATTAGAAGAAATCTTTTCATGAAAAACAATTAACTTTCCATTTTTGTTTATTGCTGTTTAAATACCAGACTGTGCCCTCCTGTATTGAAACCTTCAGGTGTAGGAGGTGAGGAGGGAATTTTCACAAGCCTAAAGAGCTTTTCTATATAATTGTGACAGTCACAATGGAAGAAAATCTTCTCTAGTGTGTCTCAAACTGCTCTGGAAATTTCTGGGTGATCAGGCATATCCCCATTTTGAATTTTAAAAGAGATTGAAGGTGCCTTTTGAATGTTTAATTTCCATGTTTAAAGGTCACAAATGAATAGAGTAACAAAACATGCTCAAACAATGCATTGACATATAAAACATCTACCTTTTTCAGTAAGTTAAGTGCATCTTGTGATTCTATGGAATTTTTTGCCAACATGTCAATATCATCTTTGGATATAATAGGCTCTTTCAGTTGCTCTATCCAGGACCACATCAAGCTACAGAGGATGAAAGGATCTCTCTCAGTAGAGATTTTATCCCAAGCTCCATCTCGAGAATTCAGTTCTTTCTTTAAAAAAAAAAAATAGGAGAGGAAAGAAAAAAGAAACTACAAATGCATCATCTGTTTACTTTTGCTAATATTCCTTTCAACTGCAACAGTATTAGGCTGCTTACATTCCAATATGAAAAGAAGACTTAATGGTTACAAAAAAGGAACTTTTTTTTTTTTTCCATGATGTCAATGTTAATCAGCAGTAATGCAAATGATTCTTTAACACAGAAAGATGATGTAAATAGTGCAGCTCAGAATCTCCCTGTTATCTCTCAGAATATATAACACAGCTTTGGATTCCTACTTCCTGCTGGGAGGATTTGGTTTTGAGAATAGCAGTTAAGTTTCTACTGAATTATAGGCAGAATCCTCTGATTAGTTCAGAGGAAGCACAGATTAAAAACAACATAACTCTAACTTAAAATCAGTAGCACTTTTATGCTATAGGAGCTAAGTTAAACCAGAGGTAACAGCACCAATTTTCATTAGTTAGTGAAATGGATGAACACAACCTGAAAAAATGTTCTAACTTCCTGTTGGGTACTGAAATTTGTAGGTTCATTTCGCATATTATTGAAAGATTTGACTCCTAACTGACAAATACAATTATTTTCTTAACCAGAGCATAAATCTGTGTCCCAGTGTGCCATTTCAAAGCACATGGTGGCATTTTTGCCATTTAAGAATTAAATGCAGTGGAATATTCAGAATACATAACACTGAATGAAATTAAAAATTACCTGCCACATTTCTACCTTCTGCTTCACTTCATCCTCTTCCAGAAATTCATTTATATTTGCAAGTGCTTTTGCTGCCAAAATTCTTCGAGCTTCCAAACTTAATTCTGACTGCAGAACAATGTGTGGAATTGCCTCTGACAGATCTTTGCTACCTTGGCTTTCACATCCAATGGAAAAGTTCACTTTAGAAGAAGAAGAAGAATCAGAGTCCTCTGAGACGTAGACTCTTCTGCTGTACATACGAGTCTCACATTCTTTTCTATGGCCAACCTCATTGGTGAAATTATGCCTTGGTGTTCCAGGCTCCCTGGTATAGTGGAGAGATGCTAGACCTGAAGAAAAAGTTCTGCTGCGTTGTACTTCTTTGGTAGAGTTCCTTCTCTGATAAAGTGAAGATCCATCTTTTTGCCCATCCAAATTAAACTTAGTCTGACTCCAAATTGTACATGTGTTACGCACTAACGCTTCTTTGTTCAAATCCAGTTCGTCTGTGGCAGAACTCTCCTCACCACTGTTCTGCTTAAGTTTGTTGCACAGTAATATCTGAGCAGGTACCGTCCATGCCGTTTCTCCTTGCTCTAAGAGGAACTCAGTTCTCCTTAGGTCTGAGTCACTGTAGCTTAGACGCCTCCTCACATGAGACAGAGGCTGAAGGCATTCGACGTTCCTCCTTTTCCAAAGAGGATCACATTCATGCGCAAGGGAGAAAAGAGAATCCTGCGTGTCACAAGTGGCCGAGTGGGTGTGCGAGGAGTCCGACGTGTCACTGTCCTGCCTGGCAAGGTCTCCATCCAGCCGTGTCGACACCAGCTGGGAGACAGTCTTTTCAATTTCAGCTGAGAGATCTGCTATGTTTAAGAGTTCTGCCTCTACCACTTGTCTGTTTTCAGCCAAGTCTAGGAGCAGCTTGCACACTAGGTGAATGAGTTTTGGCACGTGTTTGAGGTGCCTGCTCTCGTAACCATGGAGCAGGTGTCTCTGGCGGGTCAGGTACTGGGACAGCGTCACCCTGTGTGCCTTGGGCTCACAGCAAGCAAATACGTTTCTGAGAGGAATCAAAAACTGAGTGAATTCTCTGATGCACAGTAACTGCCCTCTAGTCTGAATAGAATTAGGCCTTTTTGCTCTGACAAAAAGAATGGCTTGATCAGCAGTCATTCTTGTTGCAAAAACTAAGTAGCAAGCTACTAGAACACCTGAAACACAGAAACACAAGCATTGGTTCAAGAATTTTCAAACAAAAACAATTATTCAGAAGAACTATGGGATGAAAATGAATATAGGTGAAGACACAAGCTTTGTGTCCACTATTATATGATGCTGTGGGGTTAGTTGCTTTTGTTGGACCACAAGACAGTAAATCCATTCTCACTACGCTTTCAGTGAGAGCAGTAGAGGCTTCTATGGGAAGAACTTATGCAAATAGGTCTTGAAAAAGCGAGGAGTAAATGAAATTTTGGGTGACTTTTTTTCCCACCAAAAGGAAACTGTCCCATTGAATGCAGCAGGGAATTACTGCACTGAAATTAAATAAAAAAAATCTAACCTTGCAGGTTGCTGTTTTTACATACTAAAACTGATCTCTTCCAGCTAATGACAGATGGTTTTCACAGATTTGTTTAATATTTTAATTACTTTATAGATCTTATAAAGATCTATAAAGAGCTGTAAAGACTTTAGAGATCTTGCAGTGAATTTAAATTATTAATAATTTATGAACAGAGGGTGCTTTGCATATTCAGAAAGGCAGTTCTGGTATCGTGCAGCAGAACAACATACCTGTCCGTCCAAGTCCCGCATGACAGTGAACAGCCACTCTGCCTTCCTGCAGCGCAAAAGCCATGACTTTTACCATATCAAGTATAGTAGTAAGAGATGCCACTCCATAATCCTTCCATCCAAAATTATAAAAGTAAACTAAAACAAAAAGAGAATGAGTTATTTGCTTTACTGAAAGTGAAGTTTTCGGTACTATATGCAGAGGAGAGATGACTAATAGTAAATTATAGTAAGAAAATTGTATAAAGATTCTTGGGGGAATCTGACTACATACTGCTTACAAGAGATTATTTTCCTATTTCAGAGTACTCTTGCTATTGCAATTTGATAAATGCATGAAGCTAGCACTGGACTGTCAAACTCGAGTTCAGCTGCAATGCAAAAAATTTAACAAAACTGAATGATTCATACAAAAATTACTGAGCTATCTAGAAGTAAAGCATCATTTTTCCCTTTTAGAAATTAAAGCACTGCTTCAGTCAAAAGCTTTTTCTTATACAGAGGCGCATTTACGCATGTTATCACATGAAAACACAAAAAATGCTGTCATTACAAATGGCTAGATATTTGGGAACTGAGAAGAAAGTTAACCAGCTGTTGTCCCTTCTTTCTTCTAAGTGGATAATGTGTTATTCACCATGGATTATATTTGCCCAGCTTTATCGTAGAATGGCCTGGGTTGAAAAGGACCTCAATGATCATCTAGTTTCAACCCCTCTGCCATGGGCAGGTTCGCCAACCACCAGACCAGGCTGCCCAGAGCCACATCCAGCCTGGCTTTGATTCTTACACCCTAACTTGTGCAACATTTCTTACATAGCTATTTAAGACATGCAAATTCAAGTAAAAATATCTGGAGCTGAAATGAATAATGAATGAGGCCCAGCAGCAGGAGTGCACGTACTGCCAGCCTCCATGAACGCCTCAGGAAGGTAGGTGAAGCCACTTTCTTGCTCCAGCGGATTCCCACAGCTCGCGTGCTCCCCAGGACGCTGCAGGTTAATTATGGTTTTTATGCCACATCTAAGAAAAGAAGAGATGAAATACGTGCTTATTCCTAGTGGAGAATATGGACCTTTACCAAAATCCAAATATAGGCTCAAAGAGAAAACAGACTGGGAATTCTATTAGTAATATGTACAATAAATAATGGGTAAATTTTCTTACCTTTCAAACTGTTCAATGATGTTGTACTTTTCAATTAATTCTGTTGAGGGTCGAGCCATAGCCAGTATGTTATCTGTTATCCTGAGGAATTAAAAAATAATATTTACTATTTTTACATTAATAAGGAGAATAATTATGTTAATTCCTGGGAATTAATTTGCCAAGATAAGGCTGCTGTGTTATTTTCATTATGACAGATGTGCTGCTAATGTACTAGAAATTCTTTTTCAAAAAACTCTCATCACACAGTGTTAGTGATGAATCCTGTTAAGTGGAGACAGATATCACACATCAAAAAACCTTTACTGGAATTGTTCGAATGCCCGTCCAATTAACATAGTAAAACATTCCTTTGAATAGAAATGTGAGCTGCTCCCTGTTTGGCCCTTTAAAGCTGTTATGCTTCCGTGCAGCATTCACTGTTAGATCAGTAAGAATGTGAAGGTGTGCTTCACATCAGTAATGCCGAATATGAATATGCTTTCTTCAAACATATTTCATCTTCAATAAATGTTTTTACCACACTTGAAATTCCATTATGAACACATTCTGACTCCTTTGCATTTTAAATCTCAGTGAAAACTGTCTGTAGTGCAGGATATTTTTATTAGAATTCATGTCAGTTTACTTTGACTTTTAATACGTATAAAGGCTGCAGTTACATTTAGTGACAGTAAATGCTGCATACTACCAAGAAGAGTAGAGCCCTTTAATAGCTTGCTCCTGGTCACTCCATCGAGCCGGATTCTCATACTTGCACGCACGGCCACCGCATGCCATCGAGCACTGCATGTGCCCAGGGATGACGTGGCGAAGGCGCTCCCCCACTTTTGTGTATTTTGCCGTCGGCCGCCTTGAACTTCCTATAACAGAGGCAAAAACCCCTTCAATAAGTGCCTCGTGAATTCATCTCCACCATACAAGTATTTGTTCAACCTTAAATGATAAAGTTACGAAGAGCATAAATGTACAGTATATGTTTACAACTCATTTTTCAAGGCAGACTCTAAGGATTCTGAGAAAAAAACAAAACGCTTGCATTACTAAAGCTGGTGTTTGTCACAGCAGATGTGTTCTTTTCCTGATGAAGCTATCGGCGTGCAACACCCCATGCAGGGCAACAACTGACAGACACCTGAAATCAGAAAGAGCCACATCCGTGTGGTGTGGCAGGTGCATGAAGGTGTCCTTCTATTTTATGTTACAGTGAAAAGCATGCATTAATCCTCAGATAAGGAATCAATGAACAAAACATAAAACACAGGAAAAAAAACACTATTTTATGCATGTAAATATAAAGTACGGTCAACAGAACAGAAGTGTATGTATTTATTAACAGAGCCAACAACAACAACAGAACTGCCAACAGTCTTAAGGAGAACTACTTTACTTTTTTTCTCAGGAAAAGTTGCATCCATCTCCTCGGGGCTCAGCGACGATATTGCCACCATCACCCGGTGCGTCGATGATGAGAGAACCTCAACAACTGAGCTCCGGCGCCTCTGGATGATGCGAAGAAGCGGATCGGAGGAAGAATGCCTCCGACCCTGGAAAAAGTTGCTAAAAATACTCACTGCTGAGCGCCGCCGCGGTGAGCCCTGCATGATGACCAGCACCAGTGACAGCACAGCGCGGCTGCCGAGCAAGCACGGGTCTGAAAGCCAAGTTGCTCAGCACTGAAGTTGCAGCGAGATGCGCATCCCTCCGTCTGCTGGAGCAGCTAGTCAGCATGGGCTGAGCTGTCTCCATAGTGACAAACAATGAGGGCTCTGCTGCCAGCCAGCCCCGTGGCAGTGACATTCTATATGAATTGATTCTGTTTGGGACAAAGTGTTCCGCTGCTGATGAAAATAGTTGCATTTCAAGTAGATAATTTTGAAAATGGACTGGGAACAACCAAAACATTTTTCCATAAACAATGTGAGTATTTTAGTTAGTTGTAAATAACATACATTCAGAACTCAGTTAGGCACAAAATAATATATTCAAGAGAACAATCAAAATGTATTTGGAGGCTCTGCTTCCTGAGGAATCTGTAAGTACATTATACGCCCCCAACTCCTGGTTTTACATTCCACAACCACCTCTCTCCCTCCGCTGAGCTGCTGCAAAATGCATCATTAGCTCTGTAATAATTGGGATTAGTGTGCTGCTACTGAAATGGCTCATTACACGATGAATTGTAGACTGTTCACTCTGGACCATTCATATCTTCTAACAAACACAATTTGTTACTCAAAACAAAAGGCTTATTTTTTTTCAGGGCACAGCTCTTTTATTAACCAGAGCTGTTAGCCCTACAGAGTGAGATAAAGCAGATTATGGGGAGGAGAAGATGCATCAGTTGAGTGCTTTAGGCTTTTGAAGGTAGATATTAGGTGGCAAATTGCCTCCCACTTTGCTGCCAGCGTGCTAAGTAAGAGAATGAGCTGGCCAGGAAGATTACTGCGCTCTCAAAAGCACAACATTCTCAAGCAACTTACGTGGAGAACGGATTTACAGAAATGTGGATGTGTTTGGTTTTTTTTAAAGTCATCGAATTGTCTGAGTGTTAAAGGGGAGAGAGCAGAGAGATGAAGAAAACTCACCATAGCTTTGGTCAATTAACAGAATCCCACTGTGTTTTCCCTAGGTTGTATACTTCATTCAGTCTGATTTTTCCTTTTGTGTTATGGAAACAGTAACCCTTAAAGAGGAATTGTGTATGAGAAAGCTCTTTTTTTATACAAAATCATGAGGCAAAAATCTGCTGTTTCTTCCAGGTACTGAACAGGGACTGAGTGACTGAATATTGAATACTGCAGCCCCACTGTTAAGACACAGTAAGGACTTCTGTAGAAACCAGGCATCTGGACACATCTGTGGTGATGTCGTATGTGAAAAGGAGAATGTTAAGGCTCAAAGATCTGACTGTCCTAATGAAGCCGATATAAGAAGATTGGGAAATACTTAAGTATGCTTTTATTCTGGGTGTCAGGTTGAAGAGAAGGGAAGGAGATGAAGAAGGTTCTTCAAGTGCTGCCTATGTCCAGCCAACAAACAAACAAAAAATGCTTCTGAGTTAATTACATTCTTTCTCACATTTCATTCTTAACTCTTTTTCTTCCCAGAATTTTTTCTCCTGTATATATCAAGTGATAATGGAGCCAGAGATGAGCAAGTGAAAATGCTGCATACCATTATTTTTCCACTGAGTCTAGCATGATTTGCAAGTACTCACCCAGAAACTTTCAATATTGGAGAGGGTTTTTTTGTTGAAGGTTTTTTGTGCCTTCAGAGAACTGGGCAGCTTCTGAACATGGAACCATTTCTCTAAGCAAGAGACTTGGCAAACTGAAAGTTACTGAAAAGTTCAACATCTTAACACATCGTGGCAATAAGAAGTCACACAGTTTGCTTTTGCTATAGACATTTTATGCTTAAAATTTGGGAATAATGTCCATTTTTCCCCTATGGAAAATTGCTTCTTTTCAGAACTTTTTAAGCTGTTTATATGAATAGCATAAGTGGTTGATAAAATCAGTGGATGATAAAATCATTACCTGAACTCATATTTGCAAGATACACACTGCTCTCTAGCAATGAAGAGTATGGTAGTTCATTTTGCAGCAAAACTCCTGCAGCCATTGCAGTACCTGTGGAAACAGTAATATGTTTGCTGTCACTCTGCAAGCTCGAAAATGCAAAATAAAGCTGAATTAAAGCTCAGTACCTGGCACCTGGTTACAAAGTCATCCAAGGGTTAAGATCTGGGCATTCAGGCACAGACCATTACTTTCTTTTTGGTGTGCAATCTTAAAATTCACCAGTTCTGCTATCTGTCCTAGCAATAAGAAGTCACCTGTGTATTTCCAGCTCCAGAGTCTGGCTGATGGTGTACCTTACAGTTGTGTTCTATATGCACAGGAGCCACTCACCTAGAAACCTTTACAGCCAAATCAATTTTCTCAAATTCTTAAAAGTAAACACACAACTATAAATCCTGCACTGGAAGCTTCCAAGGGGCCGTTCCAGCAAAACCAATGATGATAGCACTATTTCCAGATCATACCATTCATAATTTTAGTCCAAGCAGACTGTGTAAGGTACGTGCCTTCTCTGCTCTCTTTCCTCCATTCTGTTTTAGTAAGCTGGCAAGTTTGAAATCACATATATGAAGATTCTCCTCTAATTAGAAAACAGAACACAAGACTGTCTAAGCAGAAAGCATGTTTTCCTATAATACAAAGCAAGCTGAAGAGATTGTATTTGAAAAACAGATAATACAAGGAAAGCTGTCAGTGTGAACTTATTAATCAGTCACTGTGATGTTTAAGTAAAACAACTTCATGGCTCCTGAGTGCACATCCTTACTTCTCATACCTCAATAGTAAAATAGTTGCAAATATAGTACTAAAAAAAGCATGTCCATGCTATAACTATTGAAACTCTTCTAAATAAACCTTCAGTCCCAGATTCTGCGAAAATAACACTAAGATTCAGTGCCACAGTGTTCTAAGAGACAGGTTTACTGCAATCATAATAATGAGGATTATTACGTGGTAAACAGTCCAGTGCTGTGTTGAGGTATTAACTGCTTGTCATTCATTCTGCATGAATATTAACTATATAATATATTAACTATAATTCTGAGTAATTGCTTTAGGTAAATAATTGGATCAATTCACATGAAATTTAATGTATAGATATTATATTATCTAACACATACTTATATTGAAACTATTCTTCTATATGTGTTTATGGACTTTATTCCACATCAGTGTCACTGAGTACAGCTCTGTCCCTTACTTACGGTCCCAGCTTATGGTGGGAACACCATACACGTACACAAAGTAATCCATCAATATCTGCTGCATCAGTGGCCTCAAAGAGATGAGAATTGCATTTTTCTGTGAAAGCCAAGGGGTCTTTTGAAAGTTCATTGATGCTAAGCAAGACATTCCTTATGTAAATATGTATATTCTGAAGAATGTTCATTAAGATGAGTCTTAATGTAGAATAGAGATGCACATTTTCTACTCAGCTGCTTGACCATCTGACTGCACTTTACAAGTCCATCCCATAATAAACAGGCAGGAATACATGCTTGTACTTGCATTCTGAGAAGCTCTAGTATCCCTGTGTTTTTTTTCCAGTGGCTTTTGAAATCAGTTAGGGATGATTTTCAGTCAGAGGAAACTGCAGCTCAAGAAATCACTAATTTATCCCCAGAAGTTCCATTTAGGGTTAATACAATTGAACTGCCAAAAAAAAAAAAAAAAAAAAGAAAAAAAAAAAAGGGTTTCTATTTCTCAGAAACTTCTCTCAAAAAATCTTGATAGCTTCTCCAGGCAGCATTTCAATATGTCAGGTCTCATCACACAGGCAGTGGGAGCACCAGCAGTCACACCACTCGAGACCAAGGGGTAAAGGCTGTGTTTTGAGATAGTAAGGACTAATTTGGTGTTGCTGTTACTGCAGAGGTGCATTACATTCCTGCACTGATAAAAAGAGTGTTGAGAGCTGGAATAGCATTTGGGTCAAAGGAACAACAACTGCTTTTCCAATGTACTGCATATTCTTAGTTTTAAAAGGTCCTCTTCAGCATTTTGTTCATCTGTTAGCACCTGATGGACGCTAGAGAAAATCAAGCCTCAGATGTTATTCCAGGTCATGTTCTTTATGAGCTCTCCGAGGGAGCTGAGTCACGTGCATCGTGGCAATCATGATACCACCTTAATCAGATCTGCTCTGTGCCATGCTTTTCTATTGCCATGACAGCAAAGAGGCTGCTCTTTTAATCCTGGTATCACAACTTAAGAAATGGAACAGTGTCTTAGGTGATTGATGTTCCATCTCTTTACCATGGGAAGCAATGTCGTTAAGCTTGCACAAACAAGACAGGTAAAGAAATGGGAGTAAAAATAACATCTGCAGTGCTGGCTGACTGAAACAAATGTCAGAACCACAGTGCCCAGGGAAACGGGTCTGTTGGAGCCAGACACCAAGCACTAAGGGGATATTCCAGCAGTGCCCTTCAAGGCATGCATTCTGTACTTGCTTTGGTGTTTCTCTGCGTACCTTGGAGGGCTTTTCCCCACTTCTGTGCAAACCAGATCCTAGCAGAAAGGATGTCTCAGATTTTGTTGCCAATTCACTTATTGCATTTGGTAACAGATGACAGCTGTCACATCCAACTTGCTGTGTCATATAATCAGAGGTGGATTTCTGTCAGAGGAAATTGCACAGGCACACTGTGCTTCCTTAGGTGAGATCAGTCTGTGCTCCCACTTAGTTTCTAAGGGGTGATGCAGCCTCTAGAATAAAAGAACCCTTAGTGAAGGTTAAGCAGCAAAAAGCCATGCAGCAAATCGGACAGCTGAGAGATGGGGGCCTGCAACTGGCTGGCAGGCAGCTGCCCAGAAAGGAGGAAAGTTCACAGCACTTACACCACAGCCCAAAACTGGCTGAGGTGTCATTCTGCCTTGCATACAGGATGAGCATTTCCTATGATTGCAGGATCTGGAAATCAGTGTTTTCCATTTGCTGGGCTGAATTTTTGCTTCAGAATGGACTGAGAGAAGGAAATAATGTCTAATGTTTTAGCAGGCAGAAAACAAGCCCCAAAGTGCTAAGATTCCCACTATACCTTAGCAATTAATATGGTTGTTTAACAGATGCAGTTACTGTCTTCAGAACATGCTTTCAAACAGGAGAGTTTGCGTTCCAAACCGGAATGATTCCAGTGGTGGCAGTGCAGCTGCCAGCACACAGTAATCCTCCCCCCATTTCTGTGGAGCTGTTTACTAAGAGTGAGGACCCATTTCCCCAGATTTGTATGGATCTGGTAACCTAGAATATGACAACAGACCACACATTGAAAAGATTGGTTTCATGTATTATCATGAAAAATCTTGGGTAATCTTTCCATTGTAAATACATTCTTACATACAAGAGAGGCAAAGGCTGATGCTTATGCCTGTCACATAAAATGTGGAGATCACTTGTAGTATTTTCTTGCTTTTAAAGTGATTTGTTCTCCCCCCTATAGCATTTACAGACAAGGAACAAGCAAATGGGCAACCTGCTAAAGGAACACACAGTCAGTGCAACTGCAGGTAGGGGCCACACTAGGTTAGCACCTAAGCCCTCAGGTAACATTTACTCCATGGCCTGGTTCTGTAAGTACTTATCTTCTTGAATGGCTTTGCTCCTGGGAGCAGTCCCACAGAAGTCAAGAGGATATCTGTCTAAATATCAGATTATATGGGATGAAGTTTCATTGCCTGAACGCAAAGTTCTGAAAACTGCACTAATTAAGATGTTTAGAAATTAAAGACCACTCAGTTAACAAGACGAAGCAAAAATATGACCACGTGAGGACTGTTTATAATTAATGACAAGGTTAAGAGCTTTGATTATTATGAATGGTGAAACAAAATTAAAAGCACTAGCTAGGAGCTACATCAGCAATTGGAAAAGGCAAATAAACACACTACAGGACAAAGGGAAGACGAGGTATTAATTTGAACACATCTTCATACAGTTCAGAGGTTTATAATTTGCACAGCAGAACAGTACTGCAGCTGTTGTAGGACTGCTCTGATTTCACACAGCCAGAACTGATTTGTTACTTCCATAAGTAAGTGGTATTTTAACCCTTAGGAAAAAAATTTCAGCATTTGTTTTAGTTTATGGTGAATGTCATTTAATCATTATGCATTGTATTTAGAGGACTATAACTGCTTTCACATACAAAAGAGACAAAAGAATTTAATTCATTAGAAAGTTATGTAGGTGCTGGTCTGGTGATTCACTATTTGCTATTAATAGCTTTTTTTACATGAATAGCAACCAAAAATGGGCAGGTCTATCAACTGACTGGATTCGTCTCATTGAGTCACGTCAGCTTTCAGTGCTAACGCAACAGTTAACAGAAGTTGTCTTAACCTGCCTTGCACAGGCTGGCAACCAGTAATTACTATTGAGAAGTACAAAAGAGGGGTGAAAATGAATAAAGGAACTGCTCTACAAACAACACGAGTGAGTCTGATATTCCTGATCCTGTACTGTGACAGAGTTTTGTATGTAAGACTACATACAAAAGAATGGAATACCTTCAGTGCTGCTGAGTGCTACTGAGGGAATTTGAAAGTGGAAAAGATCTAAACAGAACTCTACAAGGTAAAGGGGTTACACCTCAAATAGTCAAAAACGTAGTAAATTTAAGTGAGTCTTCAAACAGAAGTGCAGGAATTTCAGTCTAACATCTTACCTGTGACCCTGCAAAAAGAGTGAGTGAATGCTGACGCCTTCATGGCTGCAGTACCATCCCCAGAAATGCGCTGTAGGGACACCCCGTTTACAGAAGAGATGCTGAATTATGTTGCTGCAGTGTTTCCTGTAGTTAATTGGATTCACGGTGGTAATCTGGGAGGAGCCAATAACTATCTTTTCTTAACTTAAGACTGTATGAGGAATGCCTTGCGGGCTATGCAGATAATCATCTCATGAACTGCTTTCTGCGTCTGCCTAGATTTCAGAGGGATTGAGGCAAAGAGGCCACGCCAAGCTCTTCAAAGAACAGAGCCCTTCACACCACCCTGCTCTGTCCATTCTGTTCACCTCCACATGCTATATGCCCCCAG